TTTGCCTTGTCTTTGGTACTTGAGCAGGTTTCACTCCTTTTGAGCTGATCTTTGACATTTCGTCACTTTGTCGATCAAACCTGCAATCAAGCACAACTTATGAGCTTTTTGGGACTATTTTGTAAGAATTTATAATCAAAGTGTAAGCAGGAAGGAGCATAAAACACGTCAAAATTCCTAGTTATCACCTCACCACACAGCAAAAAAAAGAACACAAATCAAGAGGTACATAGCAAAAAAGGGAGTTGTTCCATTACAACTGTCATATTACAAGCAAAAAAGGGAGTTGTTCCATTACAACTGTCATATTACAATAATTTTTATAAAGATCCCAAAGACGCCCTCACAAAAATAGCAAGACAAAAAAAATAAGTACAACGGCTTTATGTCGCGTCACCCCCATCGACGTACTTGTCATTATACCAAGAATCGGAGGCGAGCCTATCCGCATCATCATCAACATCATCTCCACCTGGCGTACCAGGGGCATAACCACAAGCTTCACGAGCCACACGTGCTTTAACACGGACACCCTTGAGTTCTGCTTCGGAAACTTTCCCGTCAGCCTTCAAGGACATATACACATCAAGTTGAATCTCGGCATAAACCCACATCTCATACAAATCTCGCGGCATAAAGAAGTCGGCAGAAGCCTGAGACGTAGATGGTTGTGACTGTCGTCGCACTTCCTCAGCCTTCAAAGCAACAACCTGCTCGTTCAATCCGGATAACTCCACCTCTAGATCCTGGATCCGCTCTTCTAACCTCGCCACCTTGAGCGCCTATGTCTCCACCTCATTATCCCGCTCAGACATACAAACACGAAGGGCATTACCTAAAGTCGTTGCTTTAGACATGGTGGCCAATCTGCTTTTCTTGGCACAAGCCAATTCCTCAGCCTTTATGCTCAACTTGCCCCTTAGATCGACAGCCTCCGCTTCCCTTCGCCCAAGCTCAGCAGTCAAGGAGGCTACCCGCGCTTGAAGGTAGGTATTCTCAGCCATCACCCCCTTACTCACTCTGAGCTCATCCTCCTTGGCCTTAAGAGCTGCCTCGAGCTCTCTGCACAGGCCGATGGAATTCACTAGCTCATCGTCCCGCTCTTTTAGCTCCTCAACTTTCCTCACTAACTCCTCCTCCTTCTGTTTAAGCCCATTACGAAATAGCTGAAACTCACTATCTTGGTTGAAGACTTTGGCCAGTGTTCGGTGCTTGGTACGGTACTCTCTGTACTTAGAGGTCACCTTCTTGTAAATGGTTGTCCTCTGCTCCTCCCGCCGGTCACACCCAATCCCCATGATGAGGGTCTGACATGCAAAAGAAAGAGTCAATATGAGCAGATTACGTATACAAAATAAATCCTAATAGTAAAAAACACTTATTCGCAAAGCCATGCCAGAAATACTCAGCGATAGCTCCGCATCGCTCATCTCCTGTAGCGTCGTGTTCTCAGAAGCCGCGCACAAGAGAGCAAAAGATGGTACCGCCCGCTCAGAGTTGGCCAAAAGGTCATAACCAACAGGGATGATTACATGCTGGTTAGGACCCTCTGTCCTTACCTCCACGCGATTAATCCCCTCCAAGAAGGTCGTACCTCTCAGGATCAATGTCCGAGCCAGAGTTGTGGTCCCTTGCAGGTACCGCCCTAACCCTCTCCGCCCATCGATGACGCGCTACCCTCTGCAGTCCTGACGAGCTCCTCATTATCATGCACCCCTTCATCCCCAAAGGGTCTCCCCTCTACAACAGTGCCGGCCGTAAGCATGGCCCCTATGTCTGGTGCGAGTGCAGGTGCCGCTTTTAGAACAATAAGTGCCTCCGGCTCAATATCAGTAATGACGGCCTTCCCGAGATACATCCTTCACCTTTTTCTCGATAGGGACTCCTCTCCATCAGACGACTCGTCTACAAGATAATAGGTAGGTCGAGAAAAGATCTCATCCAGTATAACAGACTGAGAGGCGGGGTCCCTCATCGACGGAAATTGGGTGCGACCCCCACGAACAGATTCGGCTAAAGCAAACTGCATCCCAACTGATGCGATAGCTTGGTGAAATGCCGGCACTGGATCCTTCTTCTTAGAAGTTTGCCGACCTAGAACCAAAAGGAGGTCACGTCAACAGGCAATGGTAAACAACGAAAAGCTGAAGCAAAAACACTTATCAAATAGAACCTTAGGTCCAAAACGCTTGTGGAAAGCCGACCAATCATGAATCCCTACCACATGGCCACCCAATCCTTAATGTCGAGGACAGGAGAGGGTGCACGCCTTTCAGCTGAAAAACAAACCACGGGTGAGCTAAAAACAAAAGGATAGCAGAAAACAACAAGCACACAATAGACACACATATGATTATTATTCCACTACTTAGGAAACCTGGTGGGGTCCCCCACCAAGTGCTCAGTCTTGATAAAGAATATTTGTGCCAGAACTTCCGATTCGTCCTATCATCCATTCCGACTACCAACACTCTGGTCCCGCGATGTCGTAGGTGTATCATGGTACCTCTATAGAAACTTGGCAAGAATAAGTGCAGCAGATGACGAATATTAACCTCATACCCAACCAACTCCACGTACTTCATCAGCATCAAGAAAGCTTTGTACAAGTAAAGAGAGAGTTGTGTCAGGCAGACGTTATAAAATCGGCAAAATTCCTCCACTAAAGAAAGAAGAGGAAGGGTATGACTGATCAAGAACGGGTAGAAATAGAAGGTGCAATACCCGGGTTGGTGGACCTCTACGATGTCGCCACCGGCCGGAATTATCTCGACATGGGGAGGGATGCGATACTTGGACTGGAGGTCGGCTATATGAGATGGTCTAGTCTCGGAGAGCACATGAGAAGGAGTAGGAGCAGGCTCATTTGGAAAGTCGTTTCTAGCCAAAGAATTTCTAGAAACTACCTCCTCCGCGATAGGGAAGCTGTCATCCTCCTCAGCCACGAATTCCTCACCGCCGGGAGGAGGAGCCACCAATAACAGAGTGGCATCAGAAACGTCATCATGAATGTGGGAGGGTTGTGACATAATTTGACAGTAAAACATATTGTACCAAACCCAAAGAAAACGGTAATGGTTGGGTAAGAAAGAGGGCAATAAAATCGGAGAAATAGAATTTCAATTCAAAGATTGGGGAAGAAAAACAGTGCTCATGCAAAGTAGAGGATGGAGGAAACTTCTGAAAAATTAAGCCTCCATCTACTTATAAGGCAGGCTGGCACCAAAATCGAAGCAACAAACCGATAATGGCACCAAAATCGAAATGACAGAAGTGTTGGTGTTGTCTCGAGAAGACGAGTAATGATGACGTGTGTGGTTGTGACGTCACCCCATGCCAATCACACCAATCGCAGCCTTGCTGGTCACGCCTCCTCTCCTTAACCTTGGTTGCTTCGACCTAATCTATACGACCAAATTTCTTCTAAACAGATGAACAAGTCCGCTTCTCGAGGGCATGCAAGATTACGACCTCAACAAGCGGAAGGACTAACTGTATTGGTCAAAATTTGGCAACTCGATAACTGCAAATAAGTCGTGCCAAAGACGGTTGACCATAACATTATAACGAAGGGGTCGCCCTTGTAAGGGTCACTGCCGAGGACACATAACTAGAATTGCATTTATAATGGTAGAACTCCCTTAGAAAAAGGGAGTCAGGAAGATCTTCACTTCTTTGAAAAGAGCATATTGTAAAGATTGACAAAAGGGGATATACAAAAGTTGTCTTGTTCACTGATTAACTTATTCAAGCACAGGTTGTTCAACCTTTGTTCACAAGATCCAAAGATTCCATATCCATCTTCATTTCTCACGAAAAGAACATTCCAATCATATAATAAGTGGGTGGTAGATCCTTTCTTATTACACTTATTGTCATTATCTACATTTACTACATATTGTTATCATATTCATTGTCAATCATCGAGTATTAAATCCGTTATTTAATGCTCTTGAGCAGTGTTCGTCTCGCGAGTATCCGGTTATATTCGATCTAGAATTTATTAAGTTCAACTGAGACTCGCCCCCTTAATTCATCATTAATTGATTTAACTAAAAGGTTTAACATTTTTTTGGTCAAACAATATGTTTTAAAAGTTTTCAACTGTATATGTCAAGCTAAAGGCAGAGAGTTTGTCAACACCTGTTGTTAGTATTGTACATTCATCGTTAAATGATGCAATAGCTTCACTCAAGTTATCAACCACAATCAATCAAGAAATCCAGAAAATAGGAAATATTACTTCTTAGACAAATGAGCACAAAAGCTTAACATGACCTTTTCCTTTTATGATAAAAAAACAAATGAGCACAAAAGTTTGAAGTGTTCGCAAAATTGAGGTAATTTCTGGATTTGTAGCCATTTCTTTTACATACTAATTGATTAATCTGCGAACCTATGAAATGCATGCAATGAGTCACAATATTGGATGAATTGGTATTTTTTTATTAGGAAGTAATATAAAATAAATACCAAGTTGAACATGTTAAATTAACACAAGTATAGTCTGTTATAATTCTATTTAGTTGGGAATAAATTTATAACAAATGAAACAAACATATATCCCAGTGCCTTTGACTAAATTTGATCAATATGAATTCTCTCCCAATTATAAATCAGCTAACTCATCAACACTCTTGCAAAAATATAGCTCCTCAAACACAACTGCATTTACCGCTCTAGTTACACTAGTTGGTAGCACTTTTATCTCTATAATTTTTTATTAGAGCAAAACCCAAAATGGCATATATAACCAAATAATTATTTTGCTAAGGATGGATTTCACATCACATAATAAATCGAGGAACTAAGGATGTTTCTAATACCAACAGGTCCAGAGACGGAGCTAGGATTTGGAGTGTGTGGGTTCTAAAATTTAAAATAAAACTATGACCTAAAACTAATATACAATATCAAACTGACTAAAGAATGAGTATCGATATTTAATATATATTTAAAAAGTAACGAAAGACAAACACAATATATGAATATAAATATTATCATTTCACTTGCACTCGACGAGTTGTCATGTTTTGAAAACGATCAATGATCGCATCATTAGATACACTTTCAAATACTTCATCCTCTATAAAACAAACTAAACAATCATTCAAGAAGTCATCACCAATCCTGCTTCGTAAATCATTTTTAATAAACTTCATTGAAGAAAAAGCTCTTTCAACCGTTGCAGTAGCCACAGGTAATATCAAACTCAGCTTCACAAGCAAATAAACAAGTCCCCATGTCTTGTGAATATTTATTTTAACCAATGCCTTCGACAGATCACCAAGCTCTTTCAAGTTAGAGAATGCATTGTCCATTTCTCGCACATAGTCAATATAGTTGCCAAGCTCATAACTAAGATCTTCAAGCTTAGAAGCAGTGAACTCATTTGGATAATATGTAGCAAGTTTCATAATCTTGTTTTTATCATAATTCGCAAAAGAATCATCGGGACTCAAACTAACCATACCGAGAAGCGGAGAAGTATTCACTTCACTAAAACGACTGTTAAGCTCCGAAAGTTGCAAATCAATAGCAGCACAAAAACCTCTACGTACAAATGATGGGAATATGTAACAGTTGAGCTTTTACGCTTCGACTTTCCAAGTGCATACTTCTCATCCATTTTTGGGATTACAATACCATTCTTATCACAAAACGAAGAGACATATTCTATCAAAGAATTCCATTTAGATTCTCTCATTGTTTGCAATTGCCTCTTTGTGAAATCAACAAGTTTCATTGCACTAACAATATCTTGATCTTTTTTTTGTAGGGCCATATTCAAATCATNCCATTTTTGGGATTACAATACCATTCTTATCACAAAACGAAGAGACATATTCTATCAAAGAATTCCATTTAGATTCTCTCATTGTTTGCAATTGCCTCTTTGTGAAATCAACAAGTTTCATTGCACTAACAATATCTTGATCTTTTTTTTAGGGCCATATTCAAATCATATGTAATTGCCAATAATTTTAACATAAAATGTAGTATACAAACGAACTCATAAGATCTTATATCTTCCACTAGACTTTTGGCTAATGCTTTCTCCTGATAATTTGAACTCTCATTTGCAAGAACTCCAAGTATATGAACAATTGATGAGAATAAAGAAATAAAGTTACGTACTGTCTTAAAGTGAGATCCTCAACGGATATCACCTGGTCTTTGAAGCCCAAGTTCTTGATTTAATCCACTTCATGTATGAACTTCACCGAGCACTAATAACTCATCTAATTTTTCAACTTGATCATCTCTAAGCATCTCCCTGCGCTTATAAGAACCTCCAACAACATTCAAAACATTAGCAAGAATATCAAAACATTATTTACATCATGGTGTTTCTTTGCAACAGCTACAAGAGTCAATTGCAACTGATGAGTAAAGCAATGTGCCGAAGGATTATCTTTTAGAATTAAAGCTTTAAGACCATTGATGTTTCCTTGTATGTTACTAGCTCCATTATACTCTTGTCCCCGTATTAGAGATGAACTCAATGAATGTTGTAAAAGCAAAGAATATATTTCTTTTTGTAATGCATGCGCAGTTGTACCTTTAACATGAACAAGACTAAGGAATCGCTCAATAAGTTCACCCTCTTTATTGACATAGCACAGAACAAGAGCCATTTGTTCCTTATGAGAGACATCCTTAGACTCATCAACTAATATCCCAAAAAAATCCCCATTCAAGTCTTCAATAATTGCTTTCACCGTTTCTTTTGCACAAGAATTCACAATATCTTTCTAAATATCAGGAGAAGTCATGGTGCTATTTTTTGGAGCTTTTTCTAATACCACATTTTTCACATCTTCCTTCCTATCTGCATACCATGTTAAGAGATCTAAAAAATGGCCTCTTCTAGTAGAAGTTACACTCTCATTATGGCCCCGAAAAAGATTTCCTTCTTTCAAAAGATACCTTATCATATCAATTGAAGAATTCAAACAAACTCGATGTTCACTTTTAATTTTCTCAGATTGCTTGTCCAAAGAAGTTAGAATGGATTGTGCTTGGTTCATTAAATCTAGCATCATCTTGAAACATCGATTATGAACACTACTCACGTCACCCACATGTGATTTAAGTTTTCTAAACCTTTATTCCAACCTCTAAAACCATCTGTTGTGAAAGCATCACCTACTTTTTTTTTGTATCCTCCAACCTTATTTTTAAACAAGTAACGACATAAACAAAATGTTGCATCTTGTTTAATGCTATATTCTAACCATTGAGAACATGAAGTTTTAAACCATTCAGGATTAAAGTGACGCATTATTTTCCCAAAATCTCTTTTTGGAAAGACAAAACCACGAGGTTGACAAACTCCATTTTGTATATAATTTCTCCTTACACGGTCACGTAAATTAGGAGGATATTCTGAAATTGATTTTCTTTTAGCAGGATCGGGTACATAATCATACGTTTTATCCGATACTTGGGAAGGATTAATATTGTTATCACACCTCCTTTTTGCGCGCCCGGCCCCGAAAGGTAAGATGCGCGGGTGGAGTTTTTCCAATTTAAGTGACAATATTCGAAATGGGATTATTTAT